AATCCTAGCACTTTTGGAGGTTGAGGGAAGAGAATCCCTTGAGCCCAGGAATTCAAGACCAGCAACATAATGAGATTCTGTCTCTACAAAAAATAGAAAAACTAGCTGGGTGTGACACTGCACACCTGTAGTCCCAGCTACTCAGGAGGCTGAGTTGAACCCTTGAGTCCAGGAGGTCAAGGCTGCAGTAATCAGCCACTGCACTCCAACTTGGGTGACAGAGCAAGACCATAAATAAATAAATAAAATAAAATAAATAAAATAAAATAAATAAATAAAATAAGACAGAAAGAAATAGCAACAACAATTAATAACTTCCCAGAACACAAAATATCAGGTGCATATTGCTTCACTAGTGACTTCTATTAAACATTTAAGGAGGAAATTATGCCAGTTCTTTATAATCTCTTACAGAAGACAGAAACAAAGGATATACTTCTAAACTCATTTTATGAGGCTAGTATTATCCTAATACCAAAACCATACAAAAGACATCACAAGAAAACTACAGGGCAGTATTTCTCATGAATATAGATGCAAAACGCCTTTAAAAATGTACAGATTGGGCCGGGATCACACCTGTAATCCCAGCACTTTGGAAGGCCAAAGTGGGTGGACTGCTTGAGCTCAGGAGTTAAGAGACTAGCCTAGGCAAATATGGTGAAACCCTATCTCTACAAAAAAAAATTCAAAAATTAGGCCAGACACAGTTACTCAGGCCTGTGATCCCAGAACTTTGGGAGGGCGAGGCAGGCGGATGATGAGGTCAGGAGTTCGAGACTACCCTGACTAACATGGTGAAACCCTGTCTCTACTAAAAATACAAAAAAATAGCCAGGCATGGTGGTGCACACCTGTAATTCCAGCTACTTAAGAGGTTGAGGAAGGAGAATCATTTGAACCCAGGAGGTGGAGGTTGCAGTGAGCTGAGATCACACCACTGCACTCCAGCCTGGGTGACAGAGTGGAACTCCATATCAAAAAACAAAACAAAAATACAAAAATGAACTGGGCATGGTGACTCACGGCTATAGTTCCAGTTACTTGGGAGGCTGAAGTGGAAGGATTACCTGTGCCTGGGGAGGTTAAGGCTGCAGTAAACTATGACTGCACAACTGCACTTCAGCCTAGGTGACAGAGTGAGATCTGGTTTCAAAAAAAAAAAGAAAATTGAATTTAACAATGTATAAAAGAATTATACACCAAAACCAAGTAGGATTTATCCCTGGTATGCAAGGCCGGTGTAAAATTCAAGTATCAATTAATGTAATCCATTGACACCAACAATCTAAAAAAGAAAAATCACAAGTTTGTAGCAATAAACACAGAAAAAGCATTTGACAGATTCCAATGCCCATTCATGATAAAACTCTCAGAAAACTAGGAATAATGGGTAATCTCAATTTGATAAACCATATCTACAAAGTATATCTGTAAGTTTACAGATAACATCATATTTAATGGTGAAAAACTAGAAGCTTTCCTTCTAAGATCAGGAATAAGGCAAAGATGTCCCCTCTTTGCCTTATTCTCTTACACTCTCTCCCAGCATCATACTAGAAGTACTAGCTAATGCAATAAAACAAGAAAAGGAAATAAAAGGCATACTGACTGGGGCTAGGCACAGTGGCTTATGTCTGTAATCCCAGCACTTTGGGAGGCCCAGGTAGGCAGATCGCTTGAGTCCAGGAGGTGAAGACTTGCTTGGGCAACATGGCAAAACCTCGTCTCTACCAAAAATACAAAAGCTAGCTGAGTATGGTAGCACATGTCTATAGTTCTGGGCACTGAGGTGGGAGAATTGTTTGAGCTCCAAGAGGCTGAGGTGGAAGAACTGCTTGAGCCTGGGGGCTGAGGCTGCAATCACGCCACTGCAGCCCAGCTTGGACAACAGAGTGAGACACTGTCAAAAAATAAAATAAATAAATAAATAAATAAATAAATAAAACCAAGTATGCTGAATGGGAAAACAAAAATAAAACCATCTTTGTTAGAGATGTCTATGAAGAAAATCATGATTGTCCATGTAAAATCTGAAAGAATCAACAATAAAACTCCTGGAACTAATAAGAGATTGTGGCAAGGTTGCAGAAGACAAAGTTAATGTATAAAACGCTACATTAATCAAGACAGTGTCATGCTGGTGAAGGGCCAAACACACAGGTCAATGGAACAGACTAGAGAGCGTGGAAATAGAACTGGTGTGTTGAGATACAGCACAAGAGATAGTGAAAATTGAGAAAAAAAAAAAAAAATTTTTTTGATTAAAAAAAGAACACAGAAGTGAAGATAGGTAGGATATCATTATAAAACACTCATTTAAACAGGAAGAAAAAAGAATCTAAGATTAGAATGGCAATTACCACCTATGAACAGTTTCAAAGCAAATAAACTGAAAAACAAAGGATGAAGATAGTACAGCTGCAAATGGAGAGGGGAAAGAGACACACATAAATGTTTACACAGAGATGTATCTCTGAACAACGCTGTGAATAAAAGGATAGGCTTAGTAAGCTTTATGGCTCTACTTATTAGAAACACTTTAGATTACAATAATAATAATAGGTATAGAAATACTACCTAATAGGCTTATAAATAATTTAGTTTATAAGTAGCTAAAACATTCAAATACATTTGTAAAAACTAAGTAAAACTCAAGAGTCTTGGCCAGGCGTGATGGCTCATGCCTATAACCCCAGTACTTTAGGAAGCCAAGATAGGCAGATTGTCTGAGATCTGGAGTTACCAGCCTGGCTAACATGGTGAAATCCCATCTCTACTAAAAATACAAAATATCAGCTGGGCATGGTGGCACCCACCTGTAGTCCCAGCTACTTAGGAGACTGAGGCAGGAGAATCTCTTGAACCCGGGTGGCAGAGGATGCCATGAGCCAAGATCATGCCACTGCCCTACAGCCTGGGCGATAGAGTAAGACTCCATCTCAAAAAAAAAAAAAAATTAAACATCAATTTAAAAATCAACTAATCCTAGCAGTGCGAGGTGGCTCACGCCTGTTAATTCCAGCACTTTGGGAGGCCGAGGCGGGTGGATCACGAGGTCAAGAGATCGAGACCATCCTGGCCAACATAGTGAAACCCCATCTCCACTAAAGTACAAAAATTAGCTGGGTGTGGTGGTGCACGCCTGTAGCTACTCGGGAGGCTGAGGCAGGAGAATTGCTTGAACCCAGGAGGCAGAGGTTGCAGTGAGCCGAAATCACACCACTGCACTCCAGCCTGGCACCTGGTGACAGAATGAGACTCTATC